CGGCCGCGCTCATGGCGTTGTGGGGCATTGGGGTGTCAGTGAATCACGGCCACGCCAGCCCCACATTGCCACGCACGTTCCTCCCTGCTCACCTGGCACCTGCTCAAGGCAGGCCGCTGGGTGGAGGTGTTTGATGCCGGGGGCGGCAGCCCTGGGCAGGAGGAGCTCAGCGGTGATGCTGTGCTGTGTGCTGGGCTCAGCCACGGGGCTGCAGAGAGGCACTCCCCTCCCGCCCTGTGCTGACAGCTCAGCCTAATAATGCATGGAAATAAATGGGTGCTGGTAAGGCTGAGCTGTGGCCCGAGATCTCCCCACTGCACTCCTATGGCTCAGGAGGAAAGGGACGAGCAGCACTGGGGCCCACCATGCAAGGATCTGCAGCAGAATGGGAGCAGCACTGCTTCAAAAGTCCTCTGAGGATGCAGAACCGTGGCCCTGACTGCAGCTCGTGTGCCCAGTGCTCAGCGCTGTGCCATCAGCAGGGCAGGGGTCGGTATGAGAAGGCACAGGGGACGAGGTTTTACCCATCACAGCACCGCGGCCGTGCTGCTGCCCAATGGGAATCCCACAGAGCCTTTCCCCCTGGTCACCCCACAACCAAAGGTAGGATCCAGCCCTGGAAAACAGCTCTGTGCTCTCCCCTCTTCCACCACCCAGGTCCCTTTGCCACAAATACCTGCTCCTGGTGCCCCAGAGCCCCCTGTGAGCTTTGGCAGGGCGCATCCCATCTCCACGCTGCCCCAGTGATGGTGAGCGCCGAGCTGCTGTGCTCTCTGCTGCCCCAGTACCTCCGCACTTCCTCCTCCCAATGGGATGTTGAAGCTGCAGCCCACGTTCATTCAGGGGGGATTTTGGCAAGCACGAGCCCACAGCAGCCCAGCGCCAGCCTTCCTTCCTGCAGGCTTCGTGTCGCAGAGATGGCTCCGGAACGTCACCACCAGCATCTGTCAGCTCACACTCCACGAAGGGCCCTGCACAGATTGCCCCCAAAGCCCTCCCTTGCTGTGGGGCTGTGGGGCAGTGTGACCCTGGGTATGGCTCCCCACAGAGAGAGGGATGGGGCCGTCCTCGTCGCAGCAGATGCAGCGGAGCAGGAGGGCGTGCAAACAAGTCTGGGCAGTTCTGTGCTGTGTGTTACCAATTACTCAGCAACGCGGAGCGCCCAGCACACTGATGGGAAGGTTCTCCATAAAACCAAGCGGTGTCCTATAAAGAAAGCGTCCCCTGAGCAGTTCTGGCATTGTGCTGCAGCAACAGGAGGAGGCGTGTGGGTACTGTGCTGTGCAAAGAGGGTCCTACAGTGAGCAAAACCCTCTCTAGCACTGTGAGAGTGCGATGTGTTTTGGGAAATGGGGCTGTTGGTGTGGGTGTGGGATTTCACTGACCCACATTCACAGGAGCTCGAGGCAGCGGCTGTGCTCATATTGCATCACCAAAGCCAACCCCCCGTATCCTGCAGCGCCCACCTGGCCCCACTGCTCTGTGGCCCCGAACCCAGACCTGGGGCAGGACGGGCAGTGAGGTTGGGGTGGTCAATAGAGTGGGGATGGGCAGTGGGGTGGGATGGGCAATGGGGTAAGATTGGCAATGGGAAGGAGGTGAGAAATGGGATGGAATTGGCAACAGCACAGGGATGGGCAATGGGATGGGTTGGAAAGTGGGGTGGGGATGGGCAGTGAGGCAGGATGGACAGTGGGGTGAGTTGGACAACAGAGTGGAGACTGGCAGTGGTGTGCAATGGATAATGGGGTAGGGATGGTCAGTGGGGTGGGATGGACAACGGAGTGCAGATGGGCTGTGGGGTGCAATGGGGTGGGGATGGGCAATGGGGATTTAAAGGGGCTGGAAGCCAACTCCCAGATCCAGGCTCAGCATGGGCTCTGCACAAAGCCCCAGCTTTGCAGTTTAAAGTGAGTTTTGCAACACTGCAGGCGCCCATCCCGCCCTGCACTCTTTGCAGTTTCGAGAGCAAAAATAAACACCGAAAAGAAAACGCAATGTGAAAACAACAGAGAAACCCCAAATCCGGGCTGCAGAGCCACGAATGGGGCTGTATTTCGACAGAGCCGGGCTGTGCAGACAGAGCTGTGTTTGCATAGGTCCACGTCCATAACCCCTGATCTGTCTGCGTGGTCACAGAGCCGGGCGCACACAAAATCCCTGAGCAAAATAACAGCCCGAAAGCCTTCTGAGCAGAGCAGGGCGGGGGGAGGGAGCTTCCAGTTCCCAGTGAATGACCCCTCTGTTCGAGGTTTTCTGCTCCAAGGTTTCTGATGAGTCACGAGCTATTTCTGTAAATAATATTAAAAATAATAATAATAATAAATAAATAGGAAACAGACATTTAAACTTAAAAAAAAAAAGCAAAAGGCCCCATGAATGTTCATCTTTCAAAGATGGAAAAATTAAAAGCTTCCCTTCTGCACTGTGCTTCCCCCCCCAGGGGCAGCGCTGGGGGTAGGAGGCTGACAAGGGGGGGGGTCTCGCTGCTCCCTGCAGCCCCCGCTTTGCTGGGTCACACCTCGCCCCCAACAAACCCCCTTTTCTCTCCATGCTGTGGTGGGGGGCTGCAGGCCCAGCCCACCCCACACAGAGCAGTGCTGGAGCAGAGCCCTGTGCCCCCTGCTCTCCCCCCCCGGCTCCAGGGGCTTGTGGTGATGCTGCCTGGGTGACAGGAAAAGGAAGGGGCTGCGGGCAGGTAGAGCTCATGGGCTGCTCAATGGGGACGGGTCAGGGTCAGGGCATTTAGGGCTATTAGGGTTAGGATCGGGGTTAGGCTTAGAGTTTGGGTTATTAGGGTTAGGGTCAGGGTCAGGGTTAAGGGCCTGCCACGTGAAGAGGCTGCTGGAGTCCAACCACAGCACGAGGGAGAGGAAAGCACAGAGAAACCCATTGCTGCTCCTTTGGTCCCATCTTTCCCTGACTGCAGTTGCTGCAATTCCTTAATGCTCTTTATAGAAGCAAAGACACAAACTGACAATAAAACAACCAAAATCATCCTTTTTTTTCCCTTTTTTTTTCTCTCCCCCCCCCCCCCCCCCCCATACAAATATTTGAGAGCTGTGCTTACCCTGCTGTATTTTTTACCAGCAGTGCAACCTTTTAGCTGAATGCCCACAAGGATGAGGGCGGCCCTAATGAGGGTGCACTGAGCGCAGCAGGAGCTCAGCCTGCACCAGAGGCCACCGCTCACCCGTGGGGCATCCCAGCATGGGGTCACATCCCAAAGCAGCGTCACGTCCCAAACCGGGCTGCGCTTCAGGGCCGAGCACGGAGCCGGGGCACAGCAGCACCCTGGTGGAAGGGGTGCAGGGAGGATTGAGCTGGGTGCCCCCAATCCCAGTCTCCCCCTCGTCGCCATGCGCTGGTTTAGCAATCAAAACGAGCTCGCACGTCCCTAGCAAAGAAAAACAAAACAAAACAACAACAAAAAAAGGAAAAACAATCTCTAGTTGGAAAGCTCTGATCTCCAAGCGTTAAATCAATCAGAGGCACGTGCAGCCCCCAGACCCGCCCCAGCCCGTGATGCAGGGGGTGGGGGTGGGGGGGTTCCTGTGGCTCTCGCACCCATGGGTGCTCAGCTGTCAGCACACAGTTGGCACAGATGCACTCAGTGCACCCCAGGAACTCACGGGCGAGTGGCTGTGGGTCAGGGAGCCTTGGAAAATGGCCACTGGAAAAAAGATTAAGAAAGTTTGGCCAGAGACAGAGCAGCAGAGGGAAAGGGGATATAACAGACTATGAATATTGGCAGGGTCCAGACACAGATGGGAGCGAGCCACTGAGCTGGGCTGTGAAACGGGGGGCTGAGAGCTGGCTGAGGGCCTCTGCAGCAATTGGAATCTGCTCCATCTCTGTCCCCATCCCCATCCTCACCTCCATCCACACCCGTGTCTCCATCCCCATCTCCATCCCCATCTCCATCCCTATCTCCATCCCCATTCTCATCCCCAGGCCCAGGCTGTGGAACACACAGGTGAGAATGCTGCACCGTGGGATTTTTTTTCCATTTTTTTTTTAAGGTAGGGGAAAAGGTCCCTCAGGGCAAACACTCTCTCACTTACTAATTATTTTTATTTTTATTGCTAGTTTTTGTACTGGCAGATCTACTGCTAGCTAACTCCAGCCAACAGCCAGAAACTCACCCTTGTGCCAGCCTTTGGAAAAACCCCACGCAGCAGCATGGAGCAGGGGCTGCTGCTGTGGGGGGTGAGGATGAGGAGGGAAGCTCCTGCTTCTATGCCTTTCCTGGGGCCACTGCTGCCCCATGCGATCCCGTGCCGTCCAATTCCGTGCCATCCCATCCCATTACACCATGCCATGCCATCCTGTGCCATGCCATCCCATCTACACTGTGCCATGCCATGACATCCCATCCAATTCCACGCCATCTCATCTCATTCCATGCCGTGCCATCTCCTCCCATGCTGTCCCATCCCATTTTATCCCATGCTCTCTCATCCTATCTACACCATAACATGCTTCTCACGCCACCCAATCCCAATACACCATCCTATGCCATACATGTCATCCCATCCCACCTTCACCATCCCTGCCATCCCATCTACTCCACGCCATCCCACCCCCTGCCATCTCACCACGTCATGTCATGCCATCCCATACAATCTGCACTGTGCCATCCCATCCCATCTACACCACTATATTTCATTCCATGCCACCCCATCCCATCCAACCCCACCGCAGAGGGCTGAACCTGCAGTGAAGCCGAGCTCCTCTTGGCTCCCATTACCAACACAGCTCTCCAGTGCCGACTTGTGCTGGGAACCAAAAATTCCTCCCTTCTTGGCAGCCGACAGCAATTGCACAGCTGCCAGCACCCGGGGACGCGAGGGCTGCTGCAACGCCAGCGGGATACGACCCCAGCCAGCAGCCCCACCAGAATGGGAGCTCTGGCACACATGGGTTCCACAGCAGTGCTGGAAGAACCCACAGATGCTGCATTCACCCATAACCGCAACGAAGCAGGCAGCACCGCAGACGATAGGTAATTCCTTTTATTGCATTTTATAATGCCGTTGTCCATACAGATTACATGCAGCTAGACCTACTGTACAAGGGTTTACCGTCTGCCAAAGCAGACACACGGAAGGTCGGAGTACAAATACACAGCAACGCTATTTCCTTTATACAGCACGAGGGATGCGGCGGCGGGGAGGGGGCTTCGTACATATCCCCCCCAGCCACCTCCCTCCGGCCCCTCCCCGGCAACGAGGGGGAAAAAATATGGGGACATAAAGGAGAAGTGTTGGTGGGTGATGCTCCCCCTCACCCCCCCCCCCCCCTTGGGCTGCACCATGAGGGGCTCTCAGCCCAGCGCTGGGTTGCAGGGGGGTCCCCACTGCCCGGCTCCATCCCGTTCCCCGCCTCCCACAGCATTTCCAGGACAAAAACCCAAACGTGGGGGCTTCCTCCTGGGCGGCGACGTGGGACAGTCATGTAAACAAAGCACAGAAACCCTTTGGTTTAATGCAGTTTGGGCTGCTGCTGTCCCTCCCCCCCCCGGCACCCAGCGCTGCCCCCACGCTGGGCCCCTCCTCGCCCCCCCTCCACCGATTCCACACAAAACGAATCAGCGTTAAAAATAATAATAATAATAAAAAAAAAAGACATTGAAAACAGAGTTCATCCTTCTGGACATCAGTGAGGGAGAAGCCGCTGCCGCGAGCAGAGCCAGCATCCCAACGCAAGAGAGCAGCTCGTGGCAGTGGGTTTCCAACCAGTATGTACATATCTCCGTATATACAGACACGGGGCTCCGCCACGCGCTGCCTTTGGTCCTCAATCCTTCCTCCCCTTCTCCCCTGCGCCAGACACGTGTTTGAGGTAAGACGTGGAATTCTGTACAAATCCCAACCGGCAGAAAAGGAAACACGCGCCGGGGCTGGGGGCGTCCGTCCCTGGTGGGGTGCAGGCTGTGCGTGGGGCCGCTCGGCCCTGAGAGCAGCAGGGCGATGCGTGGCGCCCGCATCCCCCCCACCGTGGTCCCACTTTGGCTGGGGGGGAGGCAGGGCTCGGAGCCACGGGGCATCCCAAAAACCTGTGCATGTCTTTGTTTTTGCTTTTGTTTTTTTTTTTTTAAAAAAAAACCTCCTTTATATTTATATATTTACTTATATATATATAATATATATATGTGGTGCTCACGCGAGCCGGGATTGCGGCTAACAACTTATGGGGCACAGGGCGAGGAGGGGTTGGGGGAGCAGGGGGGACCTCATTGCAGTTCTGGGGGGAGTTTGGGGCGATTGTACCGCTGGACAGCTGAAACATCACAAAGCACAGCCCAAGGGGGAGCACAGAGCGCCTGCAGGTGTGCCAGCGTGCTGTGTGCCCACGCTGTGCCTGCTTTCACTCAGCCCAGTGCAGGAAAACAGCGCTGGAAGAGCTGCTAAGAAAATGAAATCCCCAGAGGGAAATTGGGAAGAGAAGAAGAGCGAAGAGAGCAGCTATGGAAACAGGCAGCTCCAAGGAGAGGAGCGGTGGGAGCTGTGCAGAGCGCAGGCAGAGGGATGCAGGGCTGGCGACATCAGCAAAGTGTCACCAGAGCCACCAGGTGCCACCAGCTGTGCCTCAACCCCCGGAATGCAGCGTCCCTCAGTGGGAACAGCAGCAAGAGGGCACTTCGTCCCCTCCCCGGGGCCATCAGGGTGCTCAGGACCCCCAAAGCACGTGAGGAAAGCAGGCTCTGTTGGCTGGAGGGACCTTCATGCTTGGGGACAACAACTCCTGCCTGGCACCCCACGGCCACACTGCCCCATTGAGTTGGGAGGGCACGGAAGGCTGCCCTGCTTGGGACCCCAATGTTCCCCACAATCCCCAAAGCATCGACGCTGAAAGCTCCAGCAAAGGGCACGGAGGGGTGGGGAGGGGGGAGGGAGGAGGGGGAAGGGGGAAGGGGAAGCACTGCCAGTGTTTGTATGGATAAGAAAGAAGTCTTCCTAAGTCGAAAGGACAAAAATGAAGCCTGGATGGATGCTGAGGGGAAACTGAGCTGCAGAGGGTGCGGGTGGAGGCGGGGGGCACCAACACGGCAGACAGATCCTCCCTCCTCAACCCCCCCCGCCCCTCTGTAGGGCAGGAAAGCAGCAGCGCACAGCACCGGCCAACCTTCATCCACACCTCCACGCGGAGCTGTAAACTTGTTTAAAACAATAACTTATAAAAAAAACGAAAAAAAAAAAATTAAAGTTGTAGGGGGAGGGGTGTGTGAGTGGGGGGAGGGGGGGGAATTCTTTGGTGGGGGTGACGGGGATGCTCGGCGCTGCGCTCTGCTTGTGCGTCTGCGGCGGTGGCAGCGGCGATGGAGCGGCGGAACGCGGGGCGAGTGGGGACACCTAGCGAGGGGAGAGCCCGGCAGCGCTCCGTGCTCCGAGCGGCACGGCGAGCTGGGCCGAGGGATCTTCCCATCGTAGAATAACCCACTGCTTTCTATTGCTGCGGGTTTTTTTGGGGGGTGTACACGGGATGCAGGTGACCCCCCACCAGGATGAGCTTTGGGGTTCAGCATCGCCTGGACGGTGCAACAGGGGGACGCCCCTTCAAGTACGGGGGGGTTTTGCTCGGCCTCCTGGGAGCCCCATCCCCGCATGCAGGTGTTGCAGTGACCTGAATTAGGGGATACACGCTGCAGGGTCACCAGCACCTTGGGGACGTTGCTGAGGTGATGCATGGGTACAAAACAGTGCTCACCCGGGGATCCCCTGCCTGCGCCCCACAACACGCGTCCCATTTTCACCACAAAACACAGCTCTGGGGGCAGCAGACCCACAAGGTGCCCCACGCAGCCCCACTGCACTCCAGCTCTCACCCCATAGCAGAGGAAGGAGGAGGTCTGACCCTAGAGAAATGCTGCACACCAATGCATCCCCCAGGAGAGGAGGGGGTTGTTGGTCCACCAAGAGCAGCCCAGGCTATGGGGAGCCTGGGTACCACCACTGCCACCAGAGAAAGAAAGCGCAGGGAGAAGAGGGGTGTTTGGTTGTGTCGTTCTCGTTATTATTAACATTTCTTTTTGGCATCAATACCATCTGTTCACCTGAACTACGGACCTGCTGTCTCTAGACATCTTTTGGTATCTTCCCATCTGGACGCAGTCGCGCAACGCACACAAGAGGAGGACGGAACGAAGGCAAAATGGGGAATGAAGAGCCCGGCTCCAGCGAGCCCGTCCCCCCTGACGTGGATGGCAGCGTTGGAGCCCTGGGCAGGGTTTTGCTGGTGGGACTCCACGTGCCAACCTTTTCTGTGGCTCCTGCAGACCCAGAGCCCATCCCAGCCGCAGCGAGGAGCTTCTTTCCATCCCAGCCTTCCATGGGTCCGGCAGTGAGAAGCCACCATCGCTGCATCCAATGCCAAGATGCAGCCAGAGCTTTGTCCTCAGTGCCCAGCCAGGACGGTTGTCACCACCTGGATGCCACCAGCCCGATGGAGACTGGAGGATGGCACGGGGGGAGTGGGCAGCACCAGTGGTGGTGACGTCAGGGCTGTGCAGACACGCAGGGTCCCAGCGGGTGCAGGATGGTGGTGTGAGGCTGCAGCACAGATCTCGGCCCCATTTCTGCGGTTTCTTCCCCCAAAGCCGGATGGAGGCAGCACGTGGGAAAGGACCGCGGGTCCTCGTAGTGCAAAACCCACTGGGAGGAGGCTCAGCAGAGGGGTCCTGCCTCCCTGGGGCGGTCGCTGGGGATCTGGGGACATCATGGAGCCGCGTCTTGGAGAGAGCCCACAGCCACAGGGTGCGGGATGAGGGGACGGAGGAGCCTTCCTTGGAGTGTGGATGTGGGGAAGGAAGGAGGGACGACTTCGGACAGAAACAATCTACCATCCTCGTTCACCAGTTACTAACCAAGGGAGCAGGGGGGACAACGTTCAGCTCAGGGGGGTTTGTTTCTTGTTTTGCCACATGTCCCCCGCGCCGGGGACCCACCAGTCGCTGGGCAGTGGGGAGCCGGACGGGTGCCCCGAGGAAACCCTTTTGCTTTGTGGAAGTGCCTTGAAGAAACGGGTGAACGCCAGAGGTCACCTTGGGGAGCCGGGAGCCGGGCTTTGTTTGCAGCCGGAGCGCGGGCAGCGCTCGAGGTCCTTAGGACAAGTCTTCCACCGGCAGCTCCTCCTCCAGGTCCCTGTCGTCAGGAATTGTCACATTCTGGGTGGCGGTGGCCAGCAGCGAGACGGGCCGGCTGTCGTCCTCAGCCTCGGCTGGTTCCTCCTTCACGTGCACGGGGTGGCTGCTGCAGGGGGGAGAGAGGGGCTGAGCCCTCCACCTCGCGGGGACGGCCCTGCTGGCACTCAGCCTTCGGTCTGTACACCATAGGTAACACCAGACTGCTCCTCGGTGAGGGCTATGAGCCACCAGGGGCACCGAGCAGCGCCATCACCCTTCCTCCAACCCCACACCCTGCAGGGACGTGGCTGCCCCCCTGTCCCCCCCACCAACCTGTACTGCTGCGGGGACAGGCGCGGGCTGCTGCTGCCGTTGCTGTTGACTTGCTCCACTGTGCTGCTGACGTCGTCGTGGCCCACGTGCAGCATCCCACTGGCAGAGCTCGTGTTGATCATGGTGGGGCTGTTGAGCAGAGGGAAGCTGCTCTCTGCCAGCGCTGCCTGCAACGAGCAAAGGGGTGCGATGGGGGAACGCCTGTGCGGTGCAGTGGGATTTCCATGGGGCAGCAGAGGCTGCTCAGTGCCACCGCAGTGCCGCCACGATGGCACGGCACCACGGCTGTGCGCTGCCAGCACGGGAAGTGGAGCGTGCCCACAGCAGGGCAGGGCTGGCTGCGTGCTGCAGGGGATGGGGATGAGCGGAGCATCCTCACCTGGTAGCTTGCATTAAGTGCTCCGTAACCGAGTCCCGAAATCATGTTTTTGACTAAAGTCGGACTCCTGCAGAAGACAGAGAGCAGAAAGCAGTCTGAGCACCGCCGGCCCCGAGAGCCGCAGCGCTGCCAGCAGAGGAGGGGGCGGCACCCACCCTGTCATCTTTGGTGGCCTTCGCTTTTGGTACTCGTGCTCATCCACGGTCCACACGGCGCCCTTGACGTTCTCCACGCGCACGAAGCACTTGTGCAGGCTCAGGTTGTGGCGGACGGCGTTCTGCAGGAGGGGACGACGCAGCTCAGCAGCACAGCCATGCCCTGACGCCCACAGCCTGAAAGCTGCCTTCCTTCTCCTCCTCCTCCTCCCCAACCCCCGCGGTGCCACCGCTCACCCTGGGCTGACAGCCTGCCCCGAGGTGACGGCTCTGCGATGCCCAGAGGTCTGGGGAGCTGAGCCCTGAGCCAAGCCCAGGACACGGCCGTGACCCTCAGCCCGATGCTGGCACTGGGATGGGGACCGAGCAGGACAAGGGGCAGTGACACCAGCGAGACCTGAGCACCTGCTGCGGACACACAGCTCTCCTCCTTCCTTCCCCCTCCCCAATCCCTTTTGGGCCCTTTCCCTCCCTTTCTTCTTTACGTCGACCATCTTTACATCTCTAAATGTAAAATAAAGAGACGCACACGTAGGCAGACAGCGCAGCCCCGAGAGATACCGGCTCCCTTTTCCCCTTCCAACTCCCTGCCATTTGCTACTGCCCCTATTTCATTACCAATTTTAATTTGCCTCTAATTAAATCCTGTGTATTTTTCCGACTCACTTGCTAATCCATGAGGGAGGCAGGAGGCTGGAGTGGAATCTCTCCGAGCTATAATTACAAAGGGCCTAATCACGCCGGGGCTCTGCCTTTGAATAAATTTCCTTGCATTAAGGTTCTCAGATTCTCTGCCTTGCAAATGAGAATGACCCCAATTTCAGGAAGTTGGCCTCAGAGGGTTTTTTTTTTTTCTTTCTTTTTTTTTTTTAATTTTTTTTTTTTTATTTCGAGTCCTGATTCGTGATGAGAGACTAATTCGTTACGCTAAAACATTAACAGCAATTTAAAAGGTCGAACGGGGGCTGTATAAACAAAGGAGCCGGCCAGCACAACAAGGCAGAAGGAGATGCAAGGACTGCCCCCCCCCATCACCAACTGTGAGAGTTCCCGGAAACTCACAGCACATTGCACTGCCCCCCCCCCCCCTTTTTTTGTTGTTTTTTAATGTAGGATGGACACAAAGCCCCTCTCCCTCCCCCCCCTCTGCCCCTCAGCAGCCCCCGGCAGCGCTGCCCATGTCCCTGCAGGCACCCAAAGGTGTTCCCTGTCCTCTGAGTCCAGCAGGAACGGAGGGAGCCGGGAACCCCACGGGGAACCCCAAACCATCTCCCTGTCCTTATGCCTTCACTGCAAATCCCCAGCCCCAGGCAGGGAGGGGGACGACGACAGGATCCAGTGCTGCCCTTGAACCCCCGTCCTCAGGCGAGCAAACACAGGACTTCCTCCCCTTCCTCCTTCCTGCACACACAGGGGGCTGGTCGGCCAAACAAAGCCCCAGTTAGAAGCAGGGTGCATGGTATGGTCAGAGCCTGACTGAGCTGGCAGCATCCCAGCCCAGTGCCCCCTGGCAGCCCAGTGCCCCCCACCAGCACCGTGATGGGGAGGTGCTGGCAGGGATGCGCCTGCATAGGGCAGAAGAGAAGCAAATCCCTGTGGAAATACTGGGGTGTGGAAATGAGGGAGACCCCTCCTTCTGTGCCTCCCCACAGTGGTCCCTCAATGTTCCCACCCAGCTGGACCCCAGCTCTGGAGAGAACACTGTGCTGGTGGCACTGAGCAGGTGACAGACGTCACCCATGTGCCACCCTGTGTGCCACGGAGCAGAGCTGCCCACGCCAGGGCTGGGGGTCCACACCTCATCCCAACACAGCTTTTGTATTTGAACTGTGTCTGTTCAGTGCCAGACCTGGCTGCTTTGTTTGCTTCTCCTCTTTGCCTTTTCTAATGATGTTTGTTCTATGCCCCCCCACCCCAGGGCCCCCACACTGCTCCATGTCTCTGCCCCAGAGTGGGGATGGGATCCTGAGGGGGGAGTGGGGAAGTAGGGGCTGAGGGAGGAACCTCAGAAATGTTAATTTTCTGGAAGGAGGAAATTAGGTGATTTTTTCCTGTGCATCTCCCTCCTTTAAAAGAAACCTGGCCTTGGGCACGGAGAGTTGCTGCCCTGATCAGGCATGTCTGGATCCCCTTTGGTGGTGAAACAGGAAAAAACAGAGCAAGAAGGGAAATACAGGGGGTCGGGGCAGCCCCTCCTGGGGAGCAGCTTGGGGCCAGGGCACACAGGGTGCTGCAGAGAAAAAAACCCAAATGCTTATCCCCTGTGCCCACAGAAGGGAAGGAGAAAGGCATCAGCAGCAGCCACTGTTTCATTCCACAAGTTGGGGAGCTGAGGCACAGGGCAGGGAAAGGGCTGTCCCAGATGGACCCATGGCCAAACCCCATCCTGGCAGAAATGGACACAGCCCCATGTGATGCTTGGTGCAGCTCGGCCAGCTGCAGTGCAGCCGTGTGCCATGAGGGGGACACCGGGCTGCACAGCACTGCATCACCCACATGCACTGCCTGGCGCTGGGCTCCAGCTGCTCTGCTTCAGCACTGCGTGGGGAAACCCAGCTCCAGAGCAACCCGTTCCTTCCATCACAGCAGCCCCTTCCATCTGCAAAGCAGTCCTTCGCTCCTCTCCCGTTGGGTGATTTCTAAATAACCAGGCAACCACGCAATCCACCTGCATCAGTCTTTGCAACCACATCTCCGTGCCACAGCTGCCCCCCAGCACCTTCCTGCCCTGGTGCTGAATGCCTGCACAGCCCTCCAGCACCCTGCAGAGCTCTCAGCTGGGGGGGCAGCTCCTTGCACAGGGATGGGGCAGTGCTGGCTGCACCCCCCAGCATGTTCTGCCATCCCAGTGTGCAGCGTGCCGCCAGCCCCCAGGTTATCATTAACCTTCTTTGCTATTTCAAGTGCCTTGCTCTTCCCTCCACCCATCTCCCAGCACAGGGACGTGTGGCTCTGCTGTGCCCCAGCTACACAACTCTGTACGGAGTTCCTACAGACCCTGGTGGGCCGACCTCCCCCCACAGTCTGGGGATGCATCCTGGTGGCAGAATGCTTGGATCTAAGCCACAAAGTCATTCCCAAGCTGTGCAACAAACCAGACTCTAGCACATAAAAACGGGAGCGTTTCCTGCAGCAGTGCTGGGGTCTGCTGGGCTGGACGTGGGGCTGCAGGAGCCCTGTGCCATGCTCTCACCTTCCACGTGGCCGTGTTCCTCCTGAAGTAGGCGAACATCCTGGTGAACCAGTTGTAGATCTCATTCAGTGTCAGCTGCCTGTCGGGGGTCTCCAGGATGGCCTGGGGACCCCAGAGGGGACAGAGCATCATTTGCAAAGAGCCCGAGCTTCATGCAAGGAGTCACGGAGACTCCTGCCTTCTGCTGCAGAGAGGGGAGGGAGCTGCTTTACCCGGGGGCAGGGTTTTGGGTTGAGCCACTCACCTGCCGGATGAGCGAGGCGTACGTGAAGGGCGGCCGGACGTCTGCATTCTTGTAAAACTCATGGTTCTGTGCAAGCTCTGCAGGGAGGACGAGAAGGGGATGGAGGGGTGACGGCAGCCCACCCTTGGACCGCACTGCCAGCCCCGCAGCCCCGTCCCCGCGCTCACCTGAAGATATCGGGGTGCAGAACTTCTCCGAGTTCCTCCTGCGGATGGGCCCCACGCTGTGTAACGTGGAAGAGCTGATGACGGAGGGGCCCTGCCGCAGTGGGGTGATGGGGGCCGTGGCAGAGGTGGGGGGATGAGGTAAACCGTCGGGGAACGTGTCCGAGGTGCTCTTGGAGAGGGTAGCACTCGAGACCAGGTTCAGCTGCGGGGAGGAAGGGAGAGTGGATGGGAGTGGGGAAAATACGGGGCTGGCTGTGCTGGGACCGCTCTGGGAGTGGGACTGTGCTGGGCAGGAGGTACGGTGCGGGGAGTGGGATGCACCATGGGGTGGGGAGGGGATGCACTGTGGGATGGGGATGCAGTTATGGGATAGGGACGGGATGCACCTGATGCATGACCAAAGCAGCGCCGTGTGCCAACATGAGCAGCATTTCACTCCTGCCCCATGCCATGCACTGATGCCTGGCACAACGGAACAGAACTGGAGAATATGACACATTCTGAAAAGCCCATCCACGCAGCGGCCACATGCAAGGCATGGGAGGCACGAGTGGGGAAAAAGGGAAGGACTGGGGTCTGTGGGGCAGCAGTGGGGCAGGGAGGGAGGCGTGTGCTTACAGGTTGGCTGAAAGGCTTTGGCTCCGAAGGTCTCATGTGGAGGTGGGCCATCATGGCCTGCAGGCGCTCACTCTCCTTTGCCAGCTGAGGAAGCAGCAGGGAGTGGGTCAGGCAGGATGGGGGCAACCCCACGTGTTCCCATGTCCCCACGTCCACCCCTCCGTCCTTCCTTCCATCCATCCATCCACCCACCCATCTGCCCGGACGCACAGCATCACTGTAATTGCGCCCCCCACCCATTTACTCCCTGGTGTGCAGAGAAGGGTGAAATATTCACTGTGGCACCAGGAGAGGCGTCGAGCTCGGCGCAGCCGATGGGACCTGACACGCGCTCTCCTCCCATCACCTTCCCTTCCTGCCACGATCCCTCAAACCCGGGCTGGGAGGGGTTAACAGTGGGAGCCAGTGCGGAGTTTGTGCAAGTTTGGAGCAGCTCGGCTGCCTCGGCGCTGCCGTGGCGCTCATTAGAGCTGACAGGTCCCCCCTCGTGATGCAGACGCTCTCCGCCGACACAGCGGGAGCTCCGTGCTGAAAACTTCATAATTGGTGGCTGTGGTGGCAGCTCCCCACTCACGCACGCAGAGCTCTGCGAGCCCTTCAGGATTCGCTTTTTTCCTTCTCCCTTCCCTCCCCTCTTTAAGCCCCGGTAATTGCTTTCAACCCCTTGCGTTATGCCAGGAGCAGGCAATGGCAGCGCAGCCCCCCTGGACTGGGGAAGCAGGGGGCCGAGTTTGCTGTGCATCTCCCCCCTACAGGCTCTGTATCCCCTGCGGTGACACCCGGCACCAACAGACCAGGGACAGCCAGGGGAAAGGGTGACAACAGCACTGCCGGGTGCCCCAAATGCAGCCCCTCAGTGCTAGGGGTGATCAGGGAATGGGATGGGGACAGGGACAGCACACAGAGCCCTGAGAGATGAAAAAGCACCGCTCCCCCCTTTTTATCTCCTCCCTTCTCTATGAACCGAATTACGCACAGCGCTTTGGGGAGCCGGAGGCAGTGGGAAAAGGACTATTTAAAGAGCTGCTGTCCAAAAATAGCATCCCTTGGCCGGGCTCCAAACACCACACTTGGGCTCCTCGCCCAGCACCCCACTTCTCAGCAGCCCCTGTACCCACAGAGGGCAACTGTGGCATCCTGGGCAGGAGGGATGGCTCGTCCTTTCCTACAGATTCACGCAGGGCTGTGGGTTGTGGATGGGGCAGCAGTTTACGAGCGCTCCACGCCTCAGTGCCCACCCAGACCACAACACGGGCAGCACCGCAGGGTGGGAGGGATGCTTGGAAGGATTTGGGAATAAGGCCGTCTCGCCAGCAGTCCCCGACCCTGTGCTCCACCCTGCAGAGCACACAGAGCTGGGAGGGAGCTGCTCCAACCAGGCCACTGTGCAGCAGCACGCACCTGTATCTCCAGCTGCTGTACCACTTGCATCTGAACTCGACACTGGGCTGTGCTTCGGTCATCAAGTGCGTGTTCTGTATTGAGGTGTCTGAGGAGGAGAATGCGGGGTTTTACGCTCGGACGTGCCAGAAACGTGCCCCTCAACCAACGAGGCCACAACCGGGTTCAGCCCCACCATGCAGACCACCACTCCCTTCCACGCTGGGGGTGGCTATGCCAACCCAGCACAGCTTTCCAAACCGGAGGTGCCTCTTCTGCCCCGTGCAAACATGCCTGGAGAGCCACGGCAGCGCCTTATCTGGCTTCAGCCGGTGAGTCAGAGGCAGGAGGGCACGCAGCCTGATGCACTGACTCACCGCTCCCGGTCCCAGCAGATGCCTTCGCACTCCTCCTCCTCCTCATCCTCCCCCAGCAAAGGCACTGCCCAGCTCCATCCCCGGGGATGGGCAGGGTGGCACGGTCCCAGCTGCCCTCACTGTGCCCAGGAGGGCTTTGGAAGCCCAGCCCTCACCGAGCAGCACCATGCCCACTGCCAGCAGACAGCTGAGAGGAGGGGGGAACGCGGCAAGCGAGAGAGCCCGTCAGTTCCTTCTGATGTCTTTGCTAAAAATCCTGGCTACAAAGAGATCTAATTGCAAATGAACTAATTAAGTAAACCTCTGACGAAGCGTGAAAACAATTTGTTTGACCCTGACGCTAGCAGAGGGCTCTTCGACAGCGGAGTTAATCAGTCAGCGCAGAGCCCACAAGCGGTGTCAGCGGCTGCCGCGCTGCCATCTGCTTCCTCTCCTCCTCTCCCCCCAGGGGGGATCTGTACCCCCCCCAGCCCTGAATGGGGTCTTTCCTCCTCCAGAAGCATGGCCTAGCATGTTTTCCCCTTCTGCACAGGTTCCTCGTTTTGCACTGTCTGGGTATACCTAATTTCAGGACTCCCTGTGCTGGGGTGCCCCAAAGCTTAGCTCTCCCATCAGGAAGGGCAGCACTTACTTGACAAACTGTCCCAAGTCCTCACAGAGGGTTTCGCAGCCAGGCCACTTGCACTCTCCGTGGCCATAGAGAGGGTGAGAGCCAGGGGTCTCTTCGTGGGAAGAGCTGCAGAGGAGGACACAGACCCATGGAAGGGGGATGCTCGGGCACCTCCTGGGGTCAGCCCCAAGAACCTCCCCAGCCGTGGCTGCATGGCTCCCAATCATCACAGAACAGAAGATGGGGAAGAAAGGACCCTCTGGTTCCAGGGGTAAAAGCAGAACGGCTGCAGCCCGTCCCTACCTGTCCCTTCTCGGCGTGTGCATGGTGCTCTGCCCATTGGGCAGAGGGTGGTGGGAAATGGGAGGCGAGACCTTGGCGGCCGAAAACGAGGTAGAGTTGGAGGTGTTGGTGGTGAGGTCGAGACCCTCTTGTTTGATGCTGTCTTCGACAGGCTGGGCAGCGGTGACCTCCTTCCAGAGCTGCTGCAGGTCCGAGGGGCACACAGCTGTGTGGGGATGGGACGCGGCCATCAGTGGGGGACACGGCCCAGCAGCACCCGCCGCCCACCCCCCCGTCCTACCCAGCGCTCAGCATTGCTCCTGCACTCTGCAAATCACCGCCTCCTGCACATCCCAGCAGGGAAGCCCCAACCCCAGGATCCCCCCGCCGAGCCCCCCAGCTCCGCACCTTACCTTGGGGGAGGCTCTGCAGGGGCACGGTGCCCTGGCCCGGCGGGAGGCTCACCAGCCCCTGGCGCTGCAGGTTTAACAGGTGCTGCTGCTGGAGCTGCTGCATCTGCAGGAGCTGCTGCTGGAACGCCAGCTGCTTGTTCCCTAACGGCTGCTGGGAAACAAAAGGGAGACGGTGAGCGCTGGCATTGTGGCCTCAGGGAGGGCAGGGGCACGGCTGCAGGTGCGGGCAGCGCGCCGGGGCTCCGTGCTGCTGGGCCTGCTTGGCTGGCGGCCGCGCCAGGAACAGGCTTTGATCTATCGGAAGAGGAGGGGAAGAAAAGGAAAGTGGGAAAAAAAAAGAAAAAAGGAGGAAAAAAAAAAAAAAAAAAAAGCACTGAAAAGAGAGGGAGAGAGCAAGCAGAGCTGGTTGTTTGTATGAGAATGAGAAACAGCTCTGCCTACAGAGCATCACCGATGGAGAGGGGTCTCCAGCACCCGAAATGCACCCTAACAAACACTGGCTCCATCGACCTCCATTCCCCACAGATGATCGCTATGAGTCCCTTTAGGTGGGGGCACAGGGCAGCCTGGAGGGCAGCTGGTAACCTGTGCTGCTGGTCCATGGATGCCCACCCCAGTGTCATTACGTGGGGCACAGACTGGAGGGGCTCCCCATCATCCTGCCACACTCTGACCAGAGGAACCGGGCCCTAAACTTGTTAGGCAGGATGGGTCCCTGGGGAGGCACTGAGAAATCCATGAGAATTAACTGAAGGGGAGAGAATTCAATTAGGGACAGGGAAAGGCAGCTGCTAATCCAAGCGGGCCATGAGAGGGGAGCTGCCCTGGGCTGCCCGGCCTCATTAGCAGGGCAGGCAGCCCGCTAACCCTGTGAACCTCTCTGTTTTCTCCAACACTGTCTGCAGGCTGCGAGGAGCCAGGCTAGCAGCAGTGCGCCGACCCCCATGGCAACGCAGCTCCATGGGGCACAGAGTGGGACAGGCATATTTGCAAGGGGTCTCACTGCACCCCCAGCCCCATTCACTGGGCACAGAGACCCCCAAGACCAGACCTCTCTCCCTGCTCAGCTTGCAGCTCAGCCTGCAGTCAGCACACGTCGGTGCAGCCCACAGCAACATGCCCTGGCCACCGGGCAGCACTGCCCCTGCACTGTGCAGATGTCATTCAGTCAGGTTTCTCAGCCCCAGAGGGATGCAGGGTTCCTATCCACCACCACCCTGATGCAAGGAGATTGAGGCAGAAATAAAGCCATTGCTGCTCAGAGAAGCCACATGTGATGCACTGGGCCAGGAGGAACCCTGGATGCTGCGGCCCTGCAGGGTTGGGATGCAGGGAGGAGAACGTGACAGGGCTGTGCACCCTGGGTGGACACCTGTGCCCCTGGCAAGCCCTGTCCTCGCCCCATAGCCGGGTTCTCCCTGCTCTCTTCCATCCCTGCCGCCGCCCTCCCCAGGGGCCCTGGGCATGCCTGGGCTCCCCGAACACTGCCTCATTCATGGCACTTCCCGGCGGGAAGCAGGGGCAGATTGGCAGCGGATGAAGTCATCGGGATCCCCGGGGCGCTCAGCGCAGCAGAACCAGAGCCCGTGGGCGCACCCTGCTCTGCAGCTCCGCACACTGCGACCCACGCGTGTGTCCCTCCTGCTCCGCAGCACAAGTATGGGAAAGCATCACCCACACCAAGGGCCACATCCCCCCGAGGAGCCCCTCTGCCCACCCCAGAGTGCAAATGTGCACCAAACAGCCAAAAACTGCTCGGGGTTGGAATGCACCGTGCACACAGGGTACACCTGCGGGGGTCCGACCCACGGCACCCACTGGTGGGGATCCCTGATGGGAGGCAGGAGCAGTGCCCACCGTGATTTAAGAGCTTGAACCCCTTGGCCTGGCTCCCTGCTAGGGTCTGATCCCCCAGCTGGATCTCTCAGTGTCTCCCCATCCCTATGCCAGTGACCCCCCCCATCTGGGGCCGCAGTACCTTCCCAGCGCCGCCTACATTAGCTGCAGCTGAGTGGGTGCAGCTCACGGGGTGCGAGGCGCCGTCACTTTGATTTATGAGCACATCAAGAGGAGTTTCGGTGTGACACCAGGGACTGACAGGAGCAGTTCATTAAGCTGACGCTGAGGTGAGGCAGAGGCAGCCCCCACCGCCCCTCCCCAGCCCTGCTGGACTCGGGGGGCTGTGCTGGAACAGGCTGGGGGGGAGCAGGGGCAGCCCTCTCCATTGGAGCACACAGGGATCCCCATGCCATGTGGGGCTCTGGGAGCAGCGAGCTGGGAATGAATGGCAAAGGGCAGCAGCTCGGCAGTGCTGCACTGTGGCCAGTAGGAAGGGATGTCCATCCCACAGCACAGCACAGGGATGCTGAGGGTTCTCCTTTGCGAAGCAGCACAGCAAACAGCTCTGGGACACACCACAGCCCTTCTCCATCCCAGCCATGCCCCTTCTCCCCCACAGCATTTCTCAGAAGACACATTTCTCCTTTCCTCTGTGGCGTTTAATTACAAGTTGCCACGCTCTCTTTAAGCCAGCTCTGATCTTGGAGCAAGGGCAGCAGCTGCAGCTCCCAGAGATGGCTGCAGGACGGCCGACCCCTGCACACTGCATGGGCACAGCAATGACAGCCGCAGCCAGAGCCTCGTGAAGCTCGAGTGGGTGCCAGCACGGACCGCAGAGAGCAGCAGTGCTGGGGGTGCAGCAATGTGCACAGCATGGAACAGCCCTGGCAGCACCACGTACAGCGAGTGGGGAGGAGAGAGGGGTTCCTAAGCCTTGCTCTAGGTTCCCACTGCGCTGCTGCCGCATGGGTGAACTGGGGCCATGCAATGGGGCAGGGCTGCGCCAATCCCGCCCTGCCCTCCCCTCGAGGGGAGGATTTGGGGATTTGTCCCAGGGGCCACTGAGTCCCACGTCCCCTCTGACGGCCCCTGCCCCTCCCCCAGGTGCTGGGATTCACACACGCCTTGTTCTCTTCCTGCTGGTCCCCTTTTATTTGCAGCCAGATCTGATGGCCCAGAACCCATCTGCATGAGCTCACCTCTTTGGGTTGCTGCTTTCCGGCTTGCTGTTGTGTCAATAGCTGCAGGTGAAGCTGCTCCTGTTGCTTCTTGTAGTATTCCTGCAACTGGGAGGGACGGGAGGAGAGAGGACGGATCAACACCAGCAACACCCGCTTGGCCCTCTGCCCTGCACTGCCAGTCCCGTGCTGCAGCCACGCAGCTCCTGCAGCCACCCAGCACTGAGCACAGCACCACCGGGGCCATCCCATGTGGCATAAAACCTGGGAGCACCTTCTTGAGAGCTCTGCACCCCCACAGCCAAGCAAACCCCTAAGCTCCCATCCCAAGCATGGAGTGCGCACCCAGGAGAGGGCTCCCAACGAGGCGTGAGCGCATCTGTTGATACGAGTAACCCCACGTTCCAGCAGTGGAGAATCTCCCACCCGCCCCACACACCCATGGATGTTGCTGCAGAGCTGGGGGGGTCCCCTGCTGCCCCATGCCCTGCGCAGGCTCTGTGGGCACGGAGGGCACTCCAGCAGGCAGACCCACATCCCATCTACTGAGCCACAGTGAGGGTGATGTCCTGCAGCGCTCAGCCCCACGGCCACCAGCACGGCCCCACAGCACAGCACCCACAGCACAGCACCGCTGATGGGGCCGGAGGCGGCGGGGGGTGAGCAGGGGTGGGCGGCTCTGGCTCAGGAATGCCCCTTCGGATGCCGGGAAGCCTTTATCAGCTCAGGGCTGACAGCGCTGACAGCAGCAACTTTGCTTTTTCTGTCGGCGAACAGGTTTGGAAGGCCTCGGTGTTTACCCGAAAGCCAATCAAAGCCGGGGCTCTGCCGCATGGTCGAGCGCGGCTGCGGGAACATTGGGTCAGGGGTGAGAGGTGTGATGTTTGGTTTTCTTCTGGTGGAGAATGCGAGCTATTCCGGCCTGGGTTGTTTAATTTGCAGTCAAACGTGTTTCTTTATCCGGCTCCAAAGAGGCTGCGGGAGGACCCACCCAGGGTAGTGTTTACCCTTTGTTCTTTCCCTGGGGCCAACCTTGAGCCCTTATCAGCCTGTTTGGAGTAAACAGGTACTGGAGGCAGGAGGAAGGGTGGGGAGGATGCTTGTGGGATCGCTCCTTCCCTCTCTCTGCCAGCGGAGGTGTTTACTGAGCGGCCCCGCTTTCTGCCGCAGTTGGGGTTTGTTTTTTTTCCTCTTCTCCCTCCTCTTCCCTCATTACTCCTTTTACACACAAGGAGCACTTGGGAACACTGCAAGAAGCAGCTCTAGGGCTGGGTGGAACCATGTCGCACCCACCTGGCCCCCAGCCCCACGCCAGTCCCATGCTGGCCCCAGGGCACAGCTCTGTGTGCTCTGCGATGCCTTCTGCACCCGCAGCTCTCCCAGTGCAGGATGTGCTGGGGAGCCCCAGAGAAGGGCAGAGGGAAGATGGGAGCCCCAGGGGGAGCAGCGTTACCTGCTGCAGCATTATTGCCTGCTGCTGCTGCAGGAGGGCCTGGAGCTGGGGCGGGGACAGGATCTGCTGCATCTGCTGTGGTGTGATCATCTGTGGGGACATCATGGCCACGGACACGGGGACCTGCGGAAAGGAGGGACACACATGTCACCACGCTGCTGGTCCCAGCCCTCCCCATATGCTGACAGCCCGCATGCCCCCATCCCAAACCCTCCGCCAACCACCTCCCCTGTGTCCCCTGTTTCCACATCCCATTTGGGGATGCCTTCAGGCACCCGTTCCGGCACGCTGGGATCACCCTGACCCCAGTGTGGGGATGTGATGCGGTGCTGATGGCAGAGAGGTGCCTGCAGGAACGGAGCACTGAGAACCAGCACTGCCCCAACTACAGCCCCTGCTCTCCTATGGGCATGGCTAACACCCCAGAGCAGCACCGGGCACCACTGTGCCCTCCAGGGCTCTTAGAGCATGCAGGAGGAGGATGTCGAGGGAAGATCACTGTTCCCCAGATTTGCAGAGCATAGCATGGAGCAGAGAGTGACGAGGCTCCCCATCAGAGCTCTCCCTCCAGCTGACAGCACTGACCACCATGAACCATGACATGTGCTGGGGGGGGGGGGGCTGTGGGAACTGCTGGTCCACCCACCATGGATACAGGCTGGGACAAAGCAGGGTGCTGGGTCCAAGGCTGCGAGCAGGTCCTGCACGGCACTGCCTTCCCCAGCATATCCCCCGTGATCCCAGCAGCCAGCCCCAGCCCCAGGCTGCAGGATGGTGCCACAGCTCCCCAGAGCTCCCTGGGCGCTTCTTCCTAGGCAAGTAGAAAGCTCCCCACGCAAGCCAAGCGCTTGGGCCCGAAGACCTCCAGAACCAAGAGGCAGATCCACAAGACTGGTGGCTCTGTGGCTGCAGCTCACCCTAAGCCCAGGGAGGAGCCCCAGCACTGCCTCCCCCCGCCGGCACCCGGCCACACTGGAGCGCGCTGACCTTCAAGGGAGATTGCAAAGGCTTATCTGTTTGCTCAGGCACCAGGCTGGAGGGAGGTGTCAGGAGCGCGCCGAGCTCCGTTTGTCACCATGAGCCCCCCCAGGCACCAGCGGGTCAGGGTTAGTTATTAACTGCCACTGGTTCACAGGGGCAGCAGCGGGGGTTTGAGGACATCCCAGCACAGGGATACTGGCCAAGCAGTGAACAGGCTGACACCCCATCCAACAGCAGCACCCCCAGCAACGAGCTGCGCAGGAGGAGCTCAAACCACAACCAAGCCCGCGGTGTCCCCAGCAGTGCTCAGGTGGCAGCGTGCAGCTGTGCACACATCTGGTGAGGAGCGATGCGCGCGGGGTCCGTGCCCGTGTGCCGGGAGCATCCTGCTCATTTCCCTACACCGATTCATCAAGCTGGCAGCATGCTCAGAATGAGAGCCCCTAATTAATTGCTGCACGCATTCCTCCCCCCCCAACCCTGGCTGCCTCCCCACCCCCTCGCTGCGGCCCCTCGTCCGCCGTTGCTGGCATTTTCCAATCGGAGGCATCCTAATTACCAGAGAGTTATAACACCTTCCATTTCTCGCCCAACGGACTGACACCCTGTCAAGAGCAAAGAGAATTGCCAGAGGTTTTGACAACACTAATTGCCCCTATAATCTAAAAACACAAAGGAGAGGCGATTAGTCGAGAGGGCCCCAGCTCTCGATCCGACACGAGGTTTTCACAACGTTACAAGAAAACAAAAGCGACGCTTTTTAGAGTTTGATGGCTGCTAACAAAAGCGGAATTATATTTTCATACAACCTTTGTCTGCATTAAATGCCTTTTTTCTCCCGCGCTCCGACGCGGGGCTGACGTGGGGAGGTGGTGGGGTGAGGTGTGAGCGTCGGCGGAGCGCAGCTCCCTGCCCAGATGTTGCGATGGCTCTGAGCAGGGCAGGAACTTGGAGTCCAATGGGAAATTCCCACTTGCAGCAAACTCCGCTCCCGCTGCGCTCGCTTATCCGGTGTGGGGATGGGGAATGGGACAGCTGCTGCGGCACAGGGACACCGGGGAGGTGCTAACCTGGGGGGGATGTTGGCAACTGGGGGGGGGGGGCAGCCCTTGGGATGCAGCTGCATTGCAGCTGGGGATGGGCAGCGTGGAAGATGGGAGCATTTCAGGCTGCCCAGCACCCAGGCTCGGCCCCAGCTGCGTCCCGCTGTGATGGGCTGGCATCCGCCTTGGGCGCACAGCAGGGCTTGCCTCACCGCTGGCCTCCTGCCACCCCGCAGAACTGCTTACTAACAGCTTTGGCCACCTCACAAAAAGCCCCGACGACGCTGCAGCGCGGATCGGCCAGCGCGATCTCTCAGGGGTGATTTTCCAGGCGCTCAGGATTGTAATCCCTCCGTGCCAGCGATGGGGCGGGGGTGGAAAACAAGACAGGTATGAGAGGGGAGCTCAGCGCCAAAGCCGAGTTGGCCGGGCTGGGGAGCAGTGCTGTTTGCCTTATTCTGGTTTGGTGTTTTTTTTTTTTTTTAAACTTTTTTTTTCTTTTTTATGGCTTGCAGGGAACGCACCGTCCCTGCAGCGGGAGCAGCAGCGGGGCACAGAGCGGGCACCCATCCCAGCTTTGAGTAACCCCTCAGTCAGCATCACACGGAGCCACACGGAGCCACGGTGAAGGAGCATCGCCATTTCCGCAACGACAAAACCCAAATGCAACAGCTACAAACCCAGGGTGTCAGCTCGGAATGGCAGGAGATAGAGCTCCTGCCTTCGTCCCACCTGCGCCCCAACCCCGCTCAGAACGTGGAGACCAATCTGCACCGAGTGCCTCGTTAGCAAGAGGTGCACTAATGCGGTGTAATTGGGCTGCGGCCAGGGGAAAGGGAGCGCAGTGCAGGGGAAGAAGGGCTCAGCACAGGGGCAGGGCCGGGCTGGGGGTTCAGATGGAAACGCAGCGCAGTGCGAGCCGAGCGGGACGGGCTGCTGCCTTCCTTCAGGAGAGGGACTGCAGAAGGACTGGTATTGATCTGTCTTCATTACCCATTTCACTCAAGTTTCAAATCAACAAAATACACTTTTCCGCTCCGCTGCCCTCCCCGCCGCCGCAGACAAAAGAAAAGCAATTTCCCGCAGTTTGCTCTGAACTCCTCTCCCCTTCCCCCGGCGCTCCGTCCCCCCTCCGAGCTGCGCGGCGGCACCGAGGGGCCCCAGAGGCTGATTTCTGGTCACCCCGTGATGCAGCAATGGACGGAGCCTGGCACCAAAATTGCAGCACGTGGGCACTGTGAGCGATGCAGAGCCCTCACTGCAAAATGCCAAAATCACCATCACTGCGAAGAAGCAGAAACGCTTCTCAGGGCGATGGCTTTGGGGCCGCAGCTGCAGCCCAACGTCAGCTGCGTGGCTCCGCGCTCAGCTACACCTCCAGGCATCTGGGGGCACCGAGGGTTCACACTCACGAAACGCACCGCCCGCGATCCCTATCGCACCCAGCAGCGGCTCCCTGTTTGCTTTCAGCAGCACGCCGCCGCCGACTGCCATTAATATTGCCGCTGGCACAGCGCCCCGCCAACATCCCATCCCCAGCAGTGGGGAACCCGCAGCGCTTCGGGCTCGGGTGCTCAGCGCTGGCACGCAGCCTTCCTCCTCCTCCTCCTCTTCCTCCTCGCCCTGCAGCCTCCTGGCCAGTCTCACCCACACCACCGCCGTCAGATAAACTTCCTTTCAAAGCAGCCCGCTTAATCCCCATCTCCCCCCGCGCAGATCCCGCTCCAGCTGCCGGGCAGGGGAGGAAGAGGCCGGGCTGCTGAGTTATGAGCTATTTCTGACTCACGTCTACAACTTTCACAAGTTCTTTTGCAACACAAAGGGAGGAGGGCGGCAGATGCAGTTAACCCTGCTGCAGCCGGACAGACGGACAGCGGCGCGCAGCGCTTACCGGAACGTGACTTCACTCTTACTGCCTTTGTCCCGCGCGGGATTTTCCATGCGGTGACTGCATTTCCTTCCTGCAAACACCGCTGGAAAAAGGCCGCCTGCCTGCAGCTCATGTTGACTCACTGCTGCTCGGCCCCATGGAGGTTGGGGGTGTGGGTCCCCTCTGGCCCCACAGGGACGTGATTCCAGCAGCACTGCATGCACGTTGGAATTTAGCCGTGCCCTGGCCATACAACCTCCAAAGGACAGAGCAAGGCGAGGCCGGGAGCAGGGGTGCATGGGGCAGCCCAAACGTAAAGCCTCACCAAGGGGATGGCAGCTGCTTGCAACCAAAATGCAATTCGGCAGCATGAGCAAAAGCAAAGGAGAAGGGCACAGGGAATGGTGTCATCCCGGTGCTCTGCTCCTGTGCTGGGTGGAGAGGAGCCCACCGGAGCCCATTCCGCAGCCCCCACCCCACCGCCTGGCACAGGCAGGACCTCTAGCTTGGGGAGCACGCGTGCTAATTACTTTCCTTTGTTAATTAAGCCCACGTGGCTCTAATAAGGTAACCTGCTGTTCTCCGATAAATTTAATTAGCCTAAAGGGAGAGCCCCTCCACACAGCTATTTAAATTGTCACTTCCCATTCACTTGGGTTTTGCTTCTTTTTACCTCCCCCACTCTCTGGGCTCACTTCTCCCCCCCCACCGTTTTTCCCTGTCCCTTTTCTCCCTTCTCTCTGCCTCTTCCTTTGGCCGAGGCACAGAGGCAGAAGACCCCCCTTCTCTGATGGCACTGTGTGCATTGGAAGCGCATTTCTCAGTGCCACCAACACCCACCCCATGGGTCCCCTGCACAAGGACCCACTGGCTCTGGCCCCAGGGACTGCCCCTAACCCAGCGCCCACCTGTGGGCATGAATTCTCCCCTGTAATCAGGGAGCTCTAGACTTCCTATCCAAATGCTGCCCCGAGGTGAGGTGGCACCCAGTGCCCTTCTCTCCATGCCACCATCCCTCCACATCTCCCCGGGGGACCTTCCTCCCAAACACAACCTCGACCCCAAGCAACCCTTTCCTTCCCATCCTGCTGTTACAGAGGCAGCCAAAGGAATGGGATGCACAAGCAGCCAGGGGCTGACGCATCAAACCTCAACACCTTTCTTGAGCTCTGCAGGGCATCTGTCTCTCTCTGGGCTCCTGCTGTGTTGCAGCCATCCCACAGACGGCACTGCCCTGCCCCTGCGCATCAGTGCCGCTTTGCAGCCGAGCCCTTCCCAAAAAGCTCCGGAGAGGGGGAGGTCCTGGGGCTCACCTGCACCGCCGGCTGCTTGCCCTCATTGCTGCTGGGGGAGCTCAGCCCCGCGGCCTGCTGCAGCAGGAACTGGCGTGCCACCTGGAGAGCCTGCAAAAGAGACACAGGGGGTGGGCGGCGGGAAGGGGCCCTCTGCCTTCGCCCCTCTTCCTCCTCCTCCTCCTCCCTCTGGGCTCGCTCGCCCTCCAGCTGTGGGTCCTCCCACTGTGGTTCCCTGTGGTTAGGGAGGCACAAAGGAGGGCAGCACAAGATGCTCTCCTGCACCAACAGCGCATCCCGGCGCAAAGCACTGGCTCTGCTCTGCCAGACTCCTCCGCAGCACCCGGCACCTTCCCATGGCTACGTGCATCCAGCATCACTGCACCCCGCACACAGTCAGCGCCTGCCATGCCACGTGCCCAAAGACACCGGGTGCCATCTCACAGCGTGCCCCACAGCTTCCCATTGCTGCCCAGGTTGGGGCTGTGGGAAGTGCAGGAGGACACCAGCATTAGCGGCATCGCGCCAAGAAGTCGCACGGCAGCAGAAGGAGCAGGCTCTAAGGATTCATACTACATACTGGGCTACAGCTTGATACATCCTCACTAGATAAAGAAGAGGGGAGAAACTCATCACTTCACCCAAACACTGCGGAAATAAACAGAATCTCAGCTCCTGTGGCCTGCAGAGCTGGTGCAGGGCATGCTCCTCCCCGGGCTCCGATGCTTCCCTGCTATTAGCAGCGATGGATGCGCATCGGTAATGCGCACACAAAGCCATGTGACAGTTATGACAGCTCGAGGTCTGATGTTTTAATTACTTTTCAAAATGAAAACAGTAATTCCAGTTAAAAGCCAAAGAGTGGAGGGAGCTGATGCAAAGCTGCATCGCATTGCAGGGCTTCAGGAGCTGGGCAGGTCGGGGACGGGAGTGGGACTGCAGCCTTGTGCACAGAGCTGCCCCATAGATCTGCTCGATGTATGATCTGCCCTAGGCACAGAGCTGCCCTGTGCAGAGCAGCCCCAAGCACATCTGTGCCCCTGTGCAGCTTTTCAGAGCTCTCCACGTGTCCATTTGCCAGAGCTGTGCAGGGCTTCGCTTCCTCCATCCGCACCGCATGGAATCCCTCTGTAGCTTTGGAGGCTGCCTGGAGCTGCTGCCCAATGCCCCCCAGGAAACCCCACAGCACAGCCCTCCCTGCACCCCCCCATGCCCTGTTTTCAATTTGTGCACCAATGGGAGTGAGGAGCTGCAGGCCTCCAGGAGGACCTGGGATCACTGCAAGCTCTGCGCTGAGCATCACCAATGACAGCGAGCGGCAGCGCTGGGCAGGCAGGGCACTGGGGGGCACAGTGCCACGGGTGTCCCATGGCAGCAGTGGGGCCGCAGGGGGCCGAGCCACCACCTCTCAGGGGGGAATTTAATTCACTCCCTGCTGGCTGCCTCACTTTGTTGTGCTCTCAAGCACGAAATTACAAGATTTACAGGAAAAAAATGGCATGGCCTCAGGACCGCACACAGGGCACCACTCCTCCCCCCCATTGCCCCACATTGCTGCTTCAGTTCAGGTCAGCCATGGGATGGGGCAGATGTGCACGGAGCCCCAAAAATGCTGTATGGGATCAAAGGGAAATGGTGCTCAGGAGCTGACAGGTGGGAGGGGAATGGTGAAACTTCCTGGGCAAAGACATTGTGGCATCTGCTTATAGGGCACTGTGGTCACAGGGACTCTCACTATAGGGCACCCTGGTTATGGGGCATCTTTGGCCATTAGGTATCCTGGTTATGGGAACCCTCATCTTAGGGACAGTCATTATTGGACATTCTGGTTATAGGACACTTTTGCTATAGAGCACCCTGGTTATAGGGCATGGCGGTTATAGGGATCCTTGCATTAGGGCATCCTCTCTATAGGGCATTTTTGTTATAGGGCAGCTTAATTGTAGGGCACCCTTGTTTATAGGGCACCCTGGTTATAGGGACCCTTGTCATAGGTCACCAGGGCACCCTGGTTATAGGGACCCTTGTCATAGGTCACCATGGTTATAGGGCACCCTGGTTATAGGGATCCTTGTCATAGGTCACCATGGTTATAGGGCACCCTGGTTATAGGGCACCTATCTTTGCTATAGGGCACCCTCACCACAGAGCACCACGGTTATGGGGCACCCTGCTTATACAGGAATCCTCACTATAGGTTACACAGACCCTCGCCATGGATCACCACGGTTATGGGGCACCCTGCTTACAGAGCACCCTGGCTGTATGCAACCCTCCAGCACAGGGGTATGCAGGGGTGCAGCCCCCACCCTGTGCTGGGGTCGGGGAGGCAGAGGGGTGGAGATCTCCCCCAGCACAGATGTGTGCTCACCTCCCGGCTCCATCGAGTGCAGAAAAAGATGATTTTTTTTCTTCTTCTTCTTAAATCGCAGCCGGCTGCACGGTGTTATTCAAGAGTCATTAGCATGTTACCCGTAATTAGGAACGAATGGGTTGTGTCAAATTCATCATGCTCCTGGATGGCTCCCTTTGATCAGCAAATTACCCCATAAAAAAAGTTTGCAGCGTCTCAGACACTGCGAGCTGGGAGCTGATGCTGCGGGGCTGCAGTGCAGAGCCGGGAGGTGCAGGCAGACCCAGCGCACAGCTGTGAGCCCCAGCACTGGAACCTGGCTGGATTCTGCCCATCTAACGCTTGAGCTTCTTTCTTTCCTTTCGTAAGCACTGCAAAGAAGTGAAGGAAGGACCTGAGCAGGGCCTGGACACCACGTGCAGGTGCCCCCCCTAAAAAGCCCAGCGCTCCCATCCCCATAGAGCTGTGTGCACAACCACAGCCCCGTCCGCACGCTGAGCACCACGAGATGCTGAAAGAATGGGGGAAAATTGCACAGAGTCTTGGGTTGACTGCCCTAAAAACGCTATCGCCCCCCTGAATTTTGGCTGTGAGTGCACAGACAGCGCATCTATCAGTGGGCTGTGTCCCCTGCTGTCCCTCTGTGCTCTTGGAGGATCAAAGGAGGTTGGGATGGGATGAAAAGTTGTTGTTTTTTTTCTTTTTTAAATAAGGAAAAAATAAAAGAAGGGAAAAAATTTAAGAAGATGAAAAAGAACAAAAAGGAATAAAGAAAAAAAAGAGGGATGAACAAAAAAAGGAAAAAGAAAAAAGAAAAAAAGAGAAAAAAGAAAAAGAAAGAAAAAAGAAAAAGAAAGAAAAAAGAAAAAAGGAAGGGGAAAAAGAAAAAAAGGAAAAAGGAAAAAAAAAGAAAAAAGGGAAAAAGGAAAAAATAAAAGGCAAAATGAAAAGAAAAAAAAAGAAAAAAGGAAAAAAAAGGAGAAAAAAGTAAAAAAAAAAAGTAAAAAGAAAAAAGAAGGAAAAAAGGAAAAAAGAAAAAAAGGAAAGAAAGGTAAAAAGGAAGAAAAATGGAAAGAGGAAAAATGGAAAAAGGAAAAAAGAAAAAAAAGAAAAACGGAGAGTTTTTACACTAAGCTCATAAAAATGACATCGTCACATTCCAGAATTAGAGCCATTAAGCGAGGCGCAGATATTTTTAGATGGATATTAACGGTAAATGATGCCATATTGAAAAGCACTTCCACCCAGCCCAGCCCCGGCCGAGCTTAACCAGAACCAAATGGCTCAAAAAAGAGCAGAATGAACAGAATGACACAGAGGGGGGGAAAGGAAAAAGCGCGCCGGGCCGCCCTTTGCCGCGCCGCCGGATCCCACCGCTCCCCTGCGAGGACCGGGGTCAGAGCCGCGAACGGAGCCGGCGGGGCGTCCGCCCTCCATCCACCCCGTGAGGAAGGAGAAACCGAATCTCCGCTGCGTTTGTGCTCAGCACTGTCAGCACCAGCCCTGGGGCCGCCGGGCAGAGGGATGAGTTTCCTTCTCTCTGTTGTGCAGCGAGTGGGAGATGGGATCTGTGCTATCGCGGAGCGCTGCCCCCCGCCCCCCTTCCTCCAACTTCTCCAAGTTGCTGCTTTCCTTTGCAAGCCTTATTTCCCCTAATAACTCGCCCTTCATGTTGCACGCGTCTGCAATGAGCTGTAAATATCTCTCTATTTTTGTGTAATAAAATAAAACCCTGACTGACGCGGGAGAAGCAGAGCTCTCCAGACGCTCCTTTTCCATAGGACCGCACAGCGGGGAGGTGGAATTTAGGGTGGAATTTCAATTACCAAAAAAAAAAACCAAAAAAAAAAAGAACAAAAAACCCCAAACATCCCCAAATTCAGGGGAGACCTGAGGCAAACACGGCGCTCCGCTGCCCCGTGGCATCAGCAGGTGCTGTGCAGCCCAGTGCCACCTGAGGTGCCCTCAGTTTGTGCAGCCTCTGCGGTGCGCAGGGGACACAGAGGGGCTCCGGCTGCCCCCATTCAATCGGGGGTTCGGGCAGAGGATGCAGGCACAGCATTTGGAAAGGTTGGGGTGCAACAAACTCACGAGAGGACATTCCTGGAGCAACGTGGGAAACCCTGTGAGCCCCAAACCAACCCCAGCACTTGGGGCCCTGCTCTGCACAATCCCCCTAGCCCCCCCAGTGATGGGGCGCACCTGAATACCCCAAAGCCCCAGTGCTGCCCTGTCCCACACCCCAGCACCGGGCAGTGCCCCCCACCCCATGCCCCGTTTCCCCCATTTGGATGGGGTCAGGTCCAACCCCTGGTTAACCCCCCCTCCTTAATGGCCCCGGGTGGGCGCTTTGGGGCGCGGATCCGGCGCGCTGGAGGTCTGTCAGCGTTCCCACAGCAACGGCGGGGGGAGACGCTGGGGGCCGGGCAGCCCTCCCATGCCCCCGGCCGACCTCTCCCCTCCGCCAGCCCCGGCACAAAGCGGCATGCGCTATTCAGGCTCCGCAGCCGGGGCCCCTCCATTGAAAGCTGAGGATTTCGGGGCAATGCTGGGCAGGGGGAGAGGGAGGGGAGGCTCCAGAGCCTGGGAGGTGCTCCCGATGGGAAGGATGGATGGCACAGAGATGGGCTGGGACGGACGGGTGCATGAGCCAGGAGGGCACAGAGCAGCCCCAGAGGGTGCTGACCACCCCGCGATGCGCAGACCTCCCTCAGGGGTACAGGAGGGATCCCCAGCACCACCAAACCAAACTCTGAGCCCTGCCCAGCAGCCCTGGTGCAAACCCACAGAGGGAATCTGGATTCCGGCTCCATCGGACGCAGCAGAGCCCAAAGATGCAGCTCACAGCTCCAAAACCAGCCTGAAAAATGAGGGCAGACAACGAGACCTTGTTGGGAAATGTCCCATAAGTGCAAGCCCAAGTTCAAAGCCACTGGTGGCTCTACAAGTTCAGGTGGGGGCACCAAGTGCTGGCTTCTTCATGCCCCCCACCTCCCACTGCTTTGCACAGCTGAGAGAAGGGTGATTTCAGCACGGAGGAACTGTCAGACAGCAGCAGCCAACAACAGGGGCTGGACTCAAAGCCCTCATAGAGCACCTAATGGTGCACAGCTTCCTGCCCGGGGACATCGTTCCTGACCCTGCGGGTGCTCAGGAAGACGGATGGCTGTGGGGACATCACCCCCCTCCCCAGGTGCGGCACTGCAGACGGCGTTTGGTTTTGGTTGTACCCAACCGCCCGCCTTCAGAACTCCGCACACAGAGACACTGGGAGCCCTAAAGGAAGAGAAGCAGAAGGGTGACACTCGGGGACGAGGTGAGATTTGGGCAAAGAAGTGAGATGCAGCCCAGGCCATGCACTGAGCAGGCATCAGGCAGCGTGCACCTGTACGGGTGCAGCCAAGAGCACGGCGCCGTGCAGACCCCCGTCTCCCCATCCCCGCAGAGCGCAGCCCGGCCTGCAGCTCACAGCACTTTGCTGCATGTCCCCAATCCATCCACCGCAACTCGGGGCCGGGGAGGGGAGCGAGGCGCTGGCAGGGTGACTCGCGGGAGCATTACACGCATGATTACCCTTCAGAGCAGGGGAACGGGGGCTTAACTGCATGCGAAACGGCTGTTATTCAGGTAATGGATTTACAGCACTCACTACTAAAGTATCAGACACAGCAATTTTTTACAGCTTTCACGCTGGAATTTATGGCTCAGGGAGGCGATCTCCATACGAGGCAGGGATCATTGCCTTATTTAGTATCCAAGGAGGAAAATTTATGTTTTCTCCAAAGTTTGTTTGGAAAGGTAACCTGCAGGCACACGGGGATGCCGGGTGCCACCTCCAAGGTGCACACGTGTGTGCCAGGACGGAGTGCACACACAGCTCCATGCGTGTCTGCCGTGCACGTGAGCTTAATTCATCTCAATGCACTCTGAGCTGCCAGCACTCACCCAGCTGGATGGGCTGAAGCAGAGCAAACCTGCTCCTCCTTTACTGTCTGTGGCCTTCATTTTATTCCTAAAGCCTTTCTCCTCCTCCTCGCGCACTGAGCCCAAGGGGTCCGAGTGTGCAAACTCACCCCAGCACAGGCAACTCTTCCCTGCAGAGCACAGCCAGGCTGCTGCCAGGGCTCCGTCCCTGTAAGGATGGGTGCAAGAACCAGGCTTGGTGCGACCCACCTCCTGGAGCAGCTCTGGGGATGAGAGGTGGGTGCACACAAATGCTGCCCCAAACCCAATATTTGGAGAACCTCATGACAGAGCACGCAGAGAGGTTGTGGAGTCACCACGTGTGGGGATATCCAGAAGGCAGCTGGCTGCAGAGCTGGGTGCCAGCTCTGGGCGTCCCTGTTACAGCACGACGCCAGTTCTGGGTGTCCCTATTAGAGCAGGACTTGGGACGGCCAAACCCAGAGGTCCCTCCCCACGACCCCGCGCCCAACACTGGGTTCCCCCACGCGGATCCTTCCTACCTGCTGCTGCTGGAAGTGCAGGAGCTCCACTGGGCTCAGCTCCCCGTTGCTGTCCCCGCTGGCAGCCCCTTCCCGGCCCCCGCCGCCGCCGCCGCCCCCGTCGGGCTGGTTGCTGAGGCTGCTGACCCCGTTCTGGCCGGACGGAGCGGAGCGGATCGTCTCCGAGGCGGATTCCACCATCATGACGTGCTAGAGGGACCTGAGGGCAGAGGAGAGAGAGGAGGGTGAGAAGACAGCGTGACCCCCCACCACCAGCACCCCCACCTCCAGCACCAGGATGTGAGAGTTTATCGCAGGTTCAGAAATGACAAAATATTTCATTTTGAGGAGAGGGAGACGGCGATGTTGCAAACCTTCAGAATGGCTGGAGGAGCCCACACTACGTGATTCCCCCTAAAGATCCCAGCAGTGCTGGCACCTTTCCACAGGGCATCACAGCACTTTCCTGCAGGGCACACAGCCTGGAAGTTTGCTGCTGGTGTGAGCAAGCGGAGCTGGGCACAAAGCAGAAGATGCAGCAGCAGTAGGCAGAACAACCTTCTTAAAGATCACAGAACCATGGGATGGTTGGGTTGGAAGGGGCTCCAAAGCCCCTCCTGCCATGGGCTGGTTGCCCACCACCAGTGCTCAGAGCTGAGGAGGAAATAAAGCACGAGGGACGGGGACAAGAAATACCATTTTTCCCTTTTTCTTCTCTTTTTTCCCCCTTCTTCCCCCAACCCCGCCCCAAAAGACAGCAAGACAAACCGCGAACAACATAATTGCTGAAATGTGGCGTGTAATAATAGCTATTCAGGAGCTGATCATTCATATTAAACAGGGTGAAGCAAGCTTCTCATTTGCATGTTTGAGATGATATGCGTTTCAGAAGTCATTTCCGCAGGGTATATGACTGACATTAATTCCCATGTGGGGCTGCCGGCTCTCCTGCACCATGAGCACAGGGACGGTGCATGGGGAGAAGAGCATGGGGGCACTGCATGGGGACACTGCAGGGCAAGGGGATGTCACTGGGGGGATGCTGCAGCTGCTGCAAGGAGGTGTGCGTGGAGGACACTGCATGGGGTGTGCATGGAGGACATTGCATGGGGTGTGCATGGAGGACACTGCAAGGGGTGTGCATGGAGGACATTGCATGGGGTGTGCATGGAGGACACTGCAAGGGGTGTGCATGGAGGACACTGCATGGGGTGTGCATGGAGGACACTGCATGGGGTGTGCATGGAGGACACAGCAGCAGCCCTGGGACAGCTCAAGCTGAGCAACTTCCAGGGATGCTGCCTGCATCCTAGGATGCAGGAGGAAGCAGCCAGGAAAGCTGGAGCTCCATTCCCTCCTGCTTTGCCCCAGAAGCAAAGAGTCTTTAGAAAAATTCAATTCTTTGGTTGCTTTTCTCACTTTCCTACAAAAAACTCTGCAGTGTTGGACACGTGCAGCCCCGCAAGGAACCCGCAGGTCCCGCAGTCACACGGCCTCACCACAGCCAACCCCTCAGCAGGATTCAAAAAGAGAGATCTGACTTTTATATGGAGAACAGCAACATCCAGAGCTACGACAGGAAGCATTAAAGAAAGGCCAAAAAAAGAAAAAGTAAAAAAAAAAAAAAAAACAACCAACAACCCCCCAAAAAAAAAGAGTTTTGGAAAGGATATCAACTTTCCTGGCCACGGGGATGAGTTGATGGAGAGAGCTGCTGGGAAATGGGAGGAAATCTCTGTGCAGTGAGGAGCAGCAGGGATGGGATGGAGTGGGATGGAGTGGGATGGAGTGGGATGGAGTGGGATGGGGTGGGATGGGTTGGGGTGGATTGGGATGGGATGGAGTGGGATGAGATGGGATGGGATGGAGTGGGATGGGGTGGGATGGGGTGGGGGATGGCCCCGTCCCCGCACTGCAGAGAGCTTGCAGCCCGGATGGGACGGAGCAGCACTGTGCAGGAAGTCATAAAAGCAAGCGCTCGTCGTAATGAAAATATTTCCATTCATATAAAAGTTTCACAAAACCCGATAGAAAAAAAAAAAAGACAATAATAAAAACGATGACGGCGAGGTCTGCGCCTTTCTTTCCCCTTTTTCTGCAGCACCTTCCGCAAGAAACGCCTCCCCCGGCCTTCAGCAGCGCCATATGGTAACCAGAGCATATTAATTACCGTCGCTTTTTAATTAACAATTGCTTAATCTGAGCAGCAACATCTCCCTGACATCCCGACTTGCCGCTCACCCGCCATGCGCCATTCCTTCCCACCGACACCCCAACACACACCGCAGCCGTGGGACCGGGCTTTTCCAATTAACACCTCTGAGCTCTGTAATTAACGCAATTAACAGCCTGACGGACACTCAGAGCGTGGAGGGGATGGAGCCGTGGGCGCTGCAGGAGGGATGTGGCATCTATGGGGTGGCCGCCCCCAGCCCCACGCACAGCAGTGGGAACGCTCCGTGGCCGCCCCAAATCCGAGGCAGCCGGGATTGCTTGGAGAATGGCTTTTTACCCTTTAATTAACACATAAACACATGGAAATGTGGAAAGGGGATTAAAAATAAAAGTCCGGGGGAGCTAAAATGAATCTAAAGCATTACTGGAAATTAGAAGAGATTTAAAGGACCGAGGATTGGCTCAGCCCGGGCACCGCTTTAATGGGATCACACCTCCAGGCACTTTCATCTCCCACTTTCATCTCACTCCCAGCGACTCCTCCGGGCAGCACTGAGCACTGCATCACCCCAGGATCAGGGCACGGGGTGACGGGGCAGCCTCCCCATCCCCAGGGACCGAGGGGGAACATCCCCACAGGGTCGCCCAACTGCCAGCTCGACCTGGACCAGGAGCACCTGGAGACACGAGGATGCTGCAGTTGCAGCCAGTGATGCTCCAACTGCACCCAGTGGTGCTCAAACTGCACCCAGTGATGCTCCAACTGCACCCAACGATGCTCTGACTCCATAGGGGGGTTCTGCCCCACTTTTTTGGACCACCCAAGCCCCCCAGCAGGGTCAGGGCTGGGCACGTGGCTCCATTCCATGTTTCCCTCCGTTGTGCTCTTGAAAAGATTAAAAAAAAAAGAGAGAGAGAGAGAGCCCCACTCCATCTCATTAAGAAAGTAAACACAAGAGCCGTCTAAGTGTCTAATTAAGCTTCTAATTAGTCCCTGCTTGTTACTAATGCAAATTAGATTACGCCGCTTAACTACAGCATGTCCACAACACCCTTGTTAATTGCGGCCTTTTGAAATTAAATTACTCCCTAATTAGCATATCAAAGCCATTGATTCGGAGCCAGGAAAGACGAGGGCAGGAGGAAGCCGAACACCAAGTTTTGTTAATCAGGGACCTCTAATTAAATAGTGACTCGGTGCCTGGGCCTCAGTCAACCACTCAGGGGAACCCCAGTGCCACCCATGGGCGCCCACCATGGAGCAGGGGTGGGAGCACCCCACACTGGGTACCCACTGATGCTCGTTGATGAGTGTGGGGTAACCTACAGGTGCTCATGGTTGGGCTTAGGATCCCCTACAGGATGGGTTTGGGGCACCCCACAGGCGTTCATGGACAGGTTTGGGGTCCCTACAGGTGATCGTGGATGGGTCTGGGGTGCCCCATCAGTGCTCATGGAGGGAATTCAGGGTCCTCCACAAATGCTCACAGAAGGATTTGGGATCTCCCACAGGTGCTCATGGGTGGGTTTGGGATCCCCCATAGGTACCCATGGATGGGTTTGGTATACTCCACAAGTAATCAGGGATGGGTTTGGGATCCCCCACAAGTACTCATGGATGGGTTTGGGATCTCCTAAATGTACTCATGGAAGGACTTGGAGCCCCCTGCAAATGTGCACGGAAAGATTTAGGATGGTCCACAGGTGCTTAAGGATGGGTTTAGGGTCCCACACAGGTGTGCATGGAGGAACTTGGCGTCCCCAGCAAATGCTCATGGAGGGATTTGGGATCCCCTACAGGCAGTCATGGGTGGGTTTGAGGCCCCCTGCAGATGCTCATGGATGAGTCTGGGGTGCCCTCTGAGTACTCATGGAGGAAACGTGGGATCCCCCGCAGGTGATCATGGATGAGTTTAGGGTTCCCTACAGATGCTCACAGACAGAGAGAAGGTCTGAGGTCCAGAGTGAAGGTTTCAAGCCCGGAGTGACAGAGGGGCCCAAAAACAGCAGTGCTGGGACGCAGCAGAACCAACACTGATGTTGGGTGCAGAACAGGGCTGGAGGGGAGCAGAACTGCAGCACAACCACCTGCAGCCCCTCTGCTCCTGCAGCAAAGGGAACCACACCACACAGCACCCCAAAGGCAGACAGCAGGGCCAACTGTGGGACCCCAACCCCAAACCCACCGCCTTTGCTGTGAGGAGACTTCAAACGGAGCCGGCGCCGCCGCTTGCCTGGCTCAGTTATTTAAATACAGAACCGGGGCACTCGGGAAGTTACATTTTATAACTTTTTTTTTTTTTTTTTGCTTAAAAAGGTGGGAAGGTAAAAAAAATAAAATAAAATAAAGGGACGAAGATTGGAAAAGTTTAATAGAGGGAGAAAAAGTCTATTAAAAAAAAAAAGACGCGGGCAGATCCGTCCCCGGGGACAGAGCTGAAATATTAAAGAAAGGAAAATCACCGCCGAGACAGAGGAGGAGAATGGAGCGGGGCGAGGGGAAGGAGCTTTTAATTGAAAAGAGGGAGATTCAAGTGAAATATCCAATATCCAGCAAAGAAAAGGAAGAAAGACGGACCAAGGCTGCGCCGCGACGCCGGGAGATTGCTAAAGCACCAAGTTTCTTTTCTCTCCCACTGTAAGTTATAGGAAAGGGAGAACGAAAAAAGGGTATTTTGTACTGGAGGAACTGCAGAGAACGGGGGAGGAGGGGTGGGGGGAGGGGGGGGAGCAAGTTTTATTCATTGATTTTATGAGATGGGTGAAAATAAGGAGGAGAAGGGCCGAGTTTTTATAATGTCACAGCGCTCGGAAGCGGCGGCAGAAGGGGAAGAGAGGGGGAAAGCAACGGGGAAGGGAAGGGCCGGCACAGCGCCCGCCGCACCAGGCTCTCTCCCAACGAGATTCAATTAATTGATAACAAGAGGCATCAAATTAATTTCTCAAGGATGTTAGATTTTGATGAAGGCAAAAAAAAAAAAGAAAAAAAAAAAAAGAAAAAACCTCTCTGATTTTAATCGGGGCGGCGTTTAAAAGGCATAAATG